CTGGGGATGCTCAGGGAGCCCCAGGGAGGTTCTGTGGTGCTGGGGATGGGCAGCTGTGCATGGATGGGGCCCTGACAGAGCTCTGCTCTCCCTGCAGCTCCCCGCACCCATTACCTGGCTGACAGCGGTGAGTGCCTGAGCCCAGCCCGCCCCAGCCCCTCCTGGGATCCAGAGCTGAGCTGGAGGAGCTGCTGGGACCTGGGAGGGGAGAAGGGAAGCCAACAGGAGCCCTTGAAAGGCCGGGTTAGGACAGAGCTGGAGCAGGGCAGAGAGGATGAGAGGGGGAGCTGGGAGAGGAGAATGGCTTCTCTGGAGGGTGAGGTGGGAGGGTGCCATGGGAATGGGATTTTGGGGAGAGGAATATCAGCACAGGCTGGAAATGAGCTGGAGCTGGGAGGAGACAGAGCTGGGAGCACAGGGGCAGAGGGTGGGGGCTGTCCTGGGCTGCCATTGCTGCTTTTTCCCTGATGGAATTGGTGCCTTCTTTGCAGATCCCCTCATTTCAAAGTCAGCCTCGCTCCCTGCCTACAGGAGGAACGGGCTGCACAGGGTGAGTGCCTCCTGCTGCTGCCAGGCCTTCCCCCTTGTGCCAGGCTTTCCCCCTTGTGCCAGGCCTTCCCCATTGTACCAGGCCTTCCCCATTGTGGCAGGCATTCCCCCTTCTCCCAAGAATTCCCAATCTCCAAGACATTCCTCAATCTCCCAGGCATTCCTCCCTCTTCCAGGCTTTCCCAAATCTCTTCTCCCAGGCTTTCCCAATCTCCCAGGCATTCCCAAATCTCCTCTCCCAAGCTTCCCCATTGTCCCAGGCTCCTCCAAGCCCCCCATGCTCCCTTTCCATCACTGGGATCTCCTGTTTCCCCCTCCTCTGCATCCCTGCTGTCACTGCTGCCCTGTGCCCATCCAAAATGATTATTAGCATTAATAATCCTTATTAAATAGGGTCCAAAGAGCCCTGTCCAGGCAGTGTCTGCCCTGAAACCCCCACAGAGCAAATCCAGAGGGATGCTGGTGCTGCTTTCCTGCAGGAGAGCTTTGCTTTGTATCCTGGGGTTGTTTGGGATCAGGAGCTCTGGGCTGGTCACTTCACCTCCCTGTGTCTCCCTTTCCCTGCTGCAGGGTGGGGACCCTGGTGTCCCCCCCTGGGGATGTGGGAGGTGTCCCTGGGGTGTCTGGAGGAGCCTCCCTCCCTCTCACAGCCCCTCTGTCTGTCTGTCCATCCCTCTGCAGCCTCCCAGCGCGGAGCTGTTCCACTACGACAGCACCAACGCCGTCAACTGGGGCATGCGAGGTGAGGGGACATCCTGGGGACACCCTGAGGGGCTGCCCATGCTGAGGGGCTGCCAACCCCCCCAGGCAGCTCTGCAGGGGGATGGGGTCCCCCCAGGCAGCCCCGGGGCAGGGTGGTGCCAGCAGAGCTGGGGCTCACGTCTGTCTGTCTGTCTGTCTGTCTGCTCTCCCCACAGAGTACAAGGTAAGAGCCTTCTGCTGAAAGGAGAGGCCACCAGCCAGAGCCCCAGGGATGTGTCCGTGTGTCCCCAGGCTCTGCAGAGGGAAGCTGAGCCCTCTGCCTTTGTTCTGCTCCATCCTGGACCTGGCAGCCCCATCCCAGCACCCTGGGGCTCACACCAGAGCCCCTTCCCTCCCCAGGGGCTGCTGAGCACAATTGTCCCCTGGGTGAGGAGCAGAGCAGGGGGTTGTGCTGCTCACACCCCTGCCTGGGTCATTCCTGCTGTTGTTCCAGAGCCACCACGGAGCTCCAGGGTGGATCGGAGTCACCCTGAGAGCAGCTCCCACCTCTCCTTGTCCCACCCAGGCCATGGAGGCAGCTGTGCCACCCAAACCCTGTTAAATGCAGGGGGCAGGAGGCCTTGCCCTCGTTCCCATGGGTGCCCACAGTGTCCCTGTCCCTGTCCCTGTGCAGATTTACCCCTATGAGCTGCTCCTGGTGAAGACGAGGGGGAGGAACCAGCTGCCCAAAGACGTGGACAGGACTCGGTTGGAGGTGAGAGGAGCCCTCGGCCCTGGGGACAACCAGGGCACAGAGGGACCTGATCCCATGGGGGTGGCCCTGGCACGCGGTGTGTGGGGCTGTGTGAGGAGCATCTCCNCTGCTGGGGCTGAGCCTTCCTCCATCCCCTCTGTCACCTCCTGGGGACAGCACAGCACAGCCTGGTGGCACTGCTGGGGCTGAGCCTTCCTCCATTCCCTCTGTCACCTCCTGGGGACAGCACTGCACAGCCTGGTGGCACTGCTGGGACGGGATGAGCACGGTGCAGGACACAGCACTTGTGGTGCCGTGGGCTCTCAGCCATTTGGGTCCCTTCCCAGCCACACCAGTGACATCCCCTGCTTGTCACTGTCCCCACTGTCTGCCTCAGCAGTTGGAGAACTGATAATTCCCAGCTCTGCTCCGTGCCCAGACACAAATCCCTGGCAGTCCTGGGGAGGGAAGAGGATCTGCCTTGCTTTGGGGATCCTCACCCTGGCTCTGCCCTCTCCTTCTGCAGACACCCCCTCTGCAGCCACCAAGAGCAAAACCAGCGAGGACATCGCTCAGTCATCCAAGTACAGCCCTGCCTACTCCCCTGACCCCTACTACCACTCTGAGTCCGAGTACTGGTCCTTCCAGGGCTCACCCAAAGGTAACAAATCCCCCTTGGGCTGGGAGGAAGGGAAACCCATTCCTGCTCCACGTTTTCTGGGAGGAAACCCTGCTTTGAGTTGGGTCTGGACACAAAAGTGGGGTTGGGCTGAGATACCTGCAAAGGTGACCCCAAAATGCAGAGAGTGTCCAGGAGCCAACTGTCCCCATGGAGCCGGGGACTGTCTGCCCCCTGCCTGTCCATTTTTGTCCCCATCTGATCCCTGATGTGACCCCATGGAGCTGGGGACTCCCCTCTCCCTGCCTGTCCCCCTTTTGTCCCCGCCTGACCCCTGCTGTGTCTCCCTGCAGCTCCCCGGGCCCGGAGGTTCTCCTCAGGTGGGGAGGAGGATGGGTACGACCGGGGCATGCACAAGGTGAGTGCCAGCCCTGCTGGGCACAGCCAGCACCCAACTGTCCCCAGCTGGCTCTGCCACCCCAGAGGGTGCCACCACCATCCCCATGGCCCTGGGCCATCTGTCCCCTCCTGGCCACCCTCATCAGAGGCTCTGAAGGAGGGGACAGCATCCCCCTGTCCAGGAGATGCCCAGCCCATGCCAGGGGATGCTGTGCCCTCCTGTGGGTGCCAGGGCGGGCTGGGCAGGCACAGCAAGGGTGGCAGGTGGCTTTTCCCCCCTGACAGATCCAGAGTGGCATCGGGAGGCTGATCCTGAGGGAGGAGATGAAGGCTCGCTCCAACTCCTACGCAGACCCCTGGACCCCCCCTCGCAGCTCGGCCAGCAGCAGGGAGGCCCTGCACACTGTGGGCTACGAGGGCTCCCTCAATGGCTGTAAGGCTGTCCCTCTGTCCTTCTGTCCCTCTGTCCCACCGCACACTGTGGGCTACGAGGGCTCCCTCAATGGCTGTAAGGCTGTCCCTCTGTCCTTCTGTCCCTCTGTCCCACCCACCACAGCCCCAGCCCCT